TTATTTAGATGCATAGCAAAATGGATGTACCAAAAAAATAAAAGTGACTTATAATTTAGAACGGAGGGAGTAAAAAATAATCATGCCAATTATCCACCAATCACAGGTGAGTAGAAATTATTTGAGAATTTACCTGTAAATGGAGTGCCAATATATGTAGGACTGCAGCTGGCAACAAAAGCCTTGATGGCACACAATAGCCGTGGTACTAAAGGGTCAAGTGCCGCCAACCAGTGATGCCACATAGACCTGTGAACTCTGCCACCCTATCACTGAACTGACTGCAGGCTGAAGTAGCCGGCAGCTTTGCTGCAGGGGTCGGGGTAGAGTCTGGTGCCGGCAGCTTTATCGCAGGAGCCTCCGTCTCCCGCTCAGCTCTCCGTCTCAAATAAGCATAGTTATAGAGTGGCACCTAAGCTTCATCAATTGTATAGGCTAAAACTAATTCATGAATAATTCAAAATTTCAAACACAGACTGTTCTTTAGAACTGCCAACAATAACTGAAACAGAAATGATCAAAAGTTACTAAGATAATAATTAGCAAAACAACATCAATGGTATATCTGGTTGTAGAAAGCATGAAGCACTATAATGATCAAAAGTTACCAACCTTAGAGCTGGGAGGTGGAGATCTCATATCTACTCTGAATAAATCTAGCAAATTGCTAATATTTAGAACGGAAACAAATTGGCAACTTCACCTGATGCCCCCAAAGGAAGAGCCTAATTCAATTGCCTGTGTCTGAACTTCTCATAGCCCGAAAGCATATGCTAATGCACACCACCTCATCACGCGACCCTCCTGCTGAGCTGATCATATGGACAGTTAGCCGTATCTATTCAATTGCAAGTGTCGTCGTTGTATTGCAGAGGGATGATAAATTCAGGAAAATAATTGTATGGGTAAATCTATAAATTACAGTAGTACAACTTCAGGACCGTTTTGGTATACAAATTCCTTGTTTTTTTTGAAACAAATATACATATTCCTTGTTGCTTTAATGGATTACTCCACACATTTGTCTATTGAAAAATCCATATATATTCTTCTAGGCTCTGTTGTTTTCAAGCTATAGATCTGCAACAATGATTTTTGCATTTATTGATTTTACTTCATTGGCAACTGACGAGGGAACAAAAAGGAATATATATCACAGGATGGAAAGAACTGATCTCACCTGCTAGGCTACTACTCATTTATCCATACTTTGACATATATGTGTGTGTCTTGATTGGCTGAAACCTGACTACTTAAAATGATACAAGCAACTTATATAAATGTAAAGATCTTGGTATATAATCTATCTTTTAGAAGCAGTAAGTCATCTACCGTGCACCAGCATAGAAGCTGGTTGCATAAACTCCAAACAGTAAGAAGAAGGAAACCCCAAAGCCAATTTCATTTGTATTTGTGTCCAGATCCACTTAAAGGTCCTTCACATTTTTCTCTTGAACAAATCCATCACTTTTTCTTCAGCTAAAATGATGCCATTGTCCTTATGCTGCTCACTGCATCATTTTCTATTTGACTTGCCTCCTCATACATCAGCTGAAATCATAACACAGAATCAGGGATCTATGAATAATGTGAATAACTAACTGAATAAACAGCAACATTTGTTATGGCTTCTTGTCATACCTTTGCATCTGCACATGAAACTTAGGCTTCTTATCATACCTTTGCACCATAGAACTGAACACATGATATACATATTAGTTATGGTGGATATAATTTTAGGAAAAAAAAACTTCACATGAAACTTAGGGTCTCATTGGAAATCACATGCAGTCGAGGATTAAACATGAAAGGATTATAAACGTGACAGAAAGAGTGACTATGCTATTAGAAAACTCATGCCAAACTTTAAGTCCATGTAAACAAAATGACACGGTCTCGTGTGCCTCACCGATTATCCTCTTTAGGTGAATGCATTGGTGCCGACGTCCAAGGAACAAATGCCTACCAGTTAATGTGGTGTGATTTGTAGAAGTGCGAATCACCGGTAGCTTAAATGCAAAGAAGGCAAGTTTGACAGCTCAGATGCTCTGCCAGTTATGTGTTCTCATTGCAACGCACATGATGTTGAGAAAAAATGTATTTGAGAATGTCCATCTAAATTTCAACATCGAGTATTTTGCACCCAAGCCGGAAAAAATATACTTTGGTCCGATTGCAACTTTGAATGTCCGATTTCATATACAAGTGTTGTTTTGTGCATGTAATAGCACTTTTTAAGTTTAAATTATATGCTGATTTACTGCCCTGCAAAAAAGAAAAAAAAAAAAAAAAAGAAAAGAACCTAAGCATCACTATACGTAAGTCCCATATAGAAGAGAGTAACTCACGTAATTCAAGGTGCATGCCTGTTTATGAACATCCTCGTGTGAGAGTCGAGGAGCTTGACAAAGAGAGGCAAAGCTATGGAGAGCAGCTTCTGAAGTGCTTTGGTTGCCTCAAGTCGCACGGTGGGGAGTGCGTTGGAGAGGACGGCTGCACCATCGCCGGCAAGCCATCGAGCTGCACAACAGAAGACAAGAAAATCATATCCATGTCGTTAGATCGAGTACCACCCCGTCACCTAAACCCTAACACAGGGGGCGGATCAGATCGGGGCAAGAAAAAGCGAGCCAGGGAGGCAGGGAGGGAGGGCAGCACCGAACCTTCTTCCGGAGCACGGTGGAGTGGCCTTCACCGCCACGTCCGGCACCGGGTACGATGGGGAGGGAGAGGAGGCGACGGGGTCCTCGGCGGCGATCCCGTTGGTGGTGCGGATCTAGTCAGTGGAGGGGAGGCCCACGAAGACGACTTCGATGATGGAGCTGGCACCGGCAAACCAAGCTGGCCACTCCGCCTCTTGCCTCCCGCCCCTCGCCCGAGAGGAGGGCGTCGACGGGAGGGAGACCGGGAGTCTGGAGGCGTTTCTTTCTTTTTCTTTTTCGTTTTTTGGGTGGGGGGAGGGTTATCGGTTTTGAAATTGGCAGAGAAAAGGGGTGGCGTGGGAATCGATCCCTGGCCACGGAACCAGGTCGCAGGGACGGGTGAACGTGCAACTGTTCACAGGATCACACGGGTGGCGTAAGAGCGACCCCAAAAAAAGTCACACAAAAAAATTGTCTTACTTTTGTTCTTTTTAGTTGTAGGAGATACAATTTATACATAGAAAGAATGTGAACAACTCATTATATTAGATGTGTATTCTTTAGTCTAATCTAAGTCATTAGATTATCATAAAATCTAACGTATAAATTATTTTCTTTATTATGATAAATCTACTATATTTTTTGGTTTAATCTGAGTTGTGTGCAAGAGCATGTCTTTTATGGGTGGAATAATGTATGGACGGGATCACAAATGGGGTGTGCAGAACGAAAGTAAATATGGTCCTTTGTAGTTGCCTCAAGTCTATTATTCCAAATGTTGACTCTAGGTTGTTTTTAGTATTCATTTTCAATGTTTCAAGTGATATGAGTAGATTTGTCTTGAAATTTTGTTTTAGAAAAACTTCTTGTCAGAAATGGAACTGCTTGAATATTTTGGTTGAGACAGTTTTTCTAAAATACGAACTTTGATGATGAATATGGCCATGACGTGTATGCTAAACACAAGTGCAAAGCCAGGTCGTGTAATGCCGGTCTCATTTTGACAATATTGTGTCGTTTTCATTTTCAAGAAAAAAATGTAAAAGTGAATTGTCCTTGTATCGGAAGTTTTTTTTATCATTTTCACCATATACAGGAATTAGTAACCAAAGTCTATTACAACCCAATAAAGATTACAAAGTATATACAAAAATATTCTGTTTGAATATAAGCAAACGAGAGCGTGCAAAGATAAGCACTTTGGTCGTGTGTGACTTTATGTTTTCTTTAAATTACAAGATCATACAGAAACGCTAGGCTATTTATTCAAAATTGAGATGGGCCCTTTTTTGTGTGTGTGTGGAGGGGAACCTATCGAATGAGGTGGAAGCTATTCAAAATCTACATGATAAAGGTTGAACCCATAATTTGTGAAACAGAAGCTGTTCCTGCACTTTGTGGATTTCGAGCCATCTGGGTGGTACCATCACGCAGAAGAAAACGAATTGCCTAGGTAATGGATGTTGCAAGGTAAGACGATTTTTTATTTCACATGCTGCTTATTTGTTCCATAAATTTCATCAATTTACAAGTCAACACTTCTTTAATGTTGCTGGCAAGGTGCTAGCATGCCGTTACTGCAAGACCAGTGCATTCTTATTCTACAAAGACGGACCTGTGTAACAGATGTACTCTAAGAAGACCCGCTCTGAAACATCTCTTCCCCGTGTAAAATACTCTGCTTGTTATTGGAGCATTGGACAGATGATATAAACAATTAGATCAACCTGTATTCAGGTAGACCAGAGATTGGCGATGGCTTTGTAGCAATGTAGTTTTCTCTTCTCTTTAAGTAATAATAGCTGCCTTGTGATCTTCATAAATAACTTTTCATGATCTCACATGCTCCGTTGCAGCAATGCTGCTGCACCAAGCATGGAACTAAGACAGTGCATGTACAAGATGGATGTTTGCGCAAGAAAATGACAGACTGCAGCAGCAAAATGACAATACATCAATGAATGAATCATGTATCATTGATAGCTGATACACGCTGTTTCTGAGGAAAAGAAAAGGAACTCCTGGAATTTTTCATTTAAAATGCATATTCGCATTCCTTGTCAATGCCAAGGATCTAGCAGTCTTGTACAACTGGGAACAACTGCTTAATGTCTCCCCACTGGTCAAGATAATCATTCTAGCTATTCTTGTGCAACAAAGAAAAATAGAAAACGAACATCTTAATGTGTCCTACTTGATGGATCATTTATAGCTGCCTTTGAGTACTCATCAACTACTGCTTTTGTAAGAGAGGGGTTCAATGAACTTTGTGCGGCTTGGAAGTGGGTATTATGTATCGAACTTGCTGAGATATCTTCCCTCAGTGCTGAGATAGCTTCGCGGCAAAGGCCTTCAAGATCAGTACCAGTGAACAACTCGGTACACTCCCGCAATCTCCCAAAGATCTACATCCTCTCCCAATTTCATTTTCCGTGTATGGATGCGTAGTATCACGTATCGCCCATGCACATCTGGCGGCGGGACATACAGCACCTGCAGATCAATGGGAAATTATGGTCAGTGCCTATATGTCCATGTCTCAATGACAGGAGCATTGAAAGACCTTATCAAAACGTCCTGGACGCAGAAGAGCAGCATCAATTGCATTTGGGCGATTCGTAGCACCCAATATGATAATTCCCTAAAAAGAAAAGAATGCCCTTCTAGTGAACATACATGTATGTAGATATAATCAGTAGAATCACACACAAAGCTATCAGAAGGCTAACAGTACCGTAGCCAGTTCTAAACCATCCATTTCGGTCAATAAAGTCGACAAAAGTCTTTCTCCAACTGTGGCATTGCCACTAGAATTCCCAACAGGGCCAGTTCTGCAAGATGATACAGGTGCCAACATAAACAATTTGTAGTAAAATTTACACCTGGTAATCTGAAGCTAAAAGTAAAGATTTACAAGTGCAAAACTGAATTCCATATAAACTGATTCTACTGTCATAAAAAGAACACCCAAGTTACCATTTTCAACAAGAATTTGCTTGCACACGCTGTTCAATTCTCCACATTATGTGTACCATGTTAAATACATTTTTTTTTCATTTTAACAGTAAAAGAATGGATAGGCAATTCCTACCCATTCTTGCTAGTTATGACAGTTATATCAGATCATTTTATTATATTGTGCATCACATATCAGTGCATACCTCTTGGGGGCAATGGCATCAGCCTCGAAAAAAAATATAATGCTTGGAGAAGCAAGGCGTGCTTTTTTGAAATGTTCTACCTAACAGAGCTTCACCTTCTCCAACATACTTGGAATATATAAATCTGCACCACTGTTATAAGAATTTATGTGAAAACCTAGCGAGTGTTGAGGAGAGTATCTTTATCTGAAGGTGTTTTAGTTTATTATTTTTTTAAGCTTTTGCTGAGTTCTGGATACCAGATATTATCATCTTAACTCAACTGGCAGAAATCAGTAAATTATGCTAATCTGTTTTAAATACTGTGGAATAAAAGTTCTATGCTCTTCGCACAACGGAAGTGAGCTGTTATTTTCTCAGCATACAACATTGTTTACTGATGAACCTCAAAGAAAAGAAAGAAGCTTGGGAAGCATGTGCTGCAGCCTTGGCAAGGGTAGTCTTCGAGCACCCTGGCGGACCATGCAAAAGCACCCCCCGGACTGGTGGTATCCCAAGTCTAGAAAATGCAGCAGCATGCTTGATGGGCCACTCAACAGCTTTCTGAAGCTCTTTCTGAAGCGCAAGAACAACCACCATCAAAACAGGTTTTTTGCCAGAAGGGAGCCAAAACAAGAAATGCCTAACCTTTAGATCTTTCAAGCCTCCTATATCATCCCATGAAACAGTTGAAATTTCTTTGGTTACCCCTCTTATTATGCTTGGTCCCACCATAGATCTAGCAGACTCCCAGTCCTCCATGTGTAGTTTAAGTACTTTGTCACCCTCAGATATGTTTAACATTCTATGATATGCAAGCTTGGCAGCTTCTCGACATAAATGCTTCTAAATCAGCTCCAACATAGCCATTGCAGAAAGCAGCAACGGTTTGAAGATCGACCTTTTCATCCAGATGTAGGTTTTTTGCATAAAGCTGAAGAAGATAAAGACCTATGACATTAGGTTTACGTAAAACTGTAAAAGAAATCAAGAGCATGAATTCAAGATTTCACAAAACGCAGAATTTGATATGATGTCTTAAAGCCTTTTATACAATCATGTGGTCAAAAACATAAAATTACATTTGTCATTTGTCAACAGCAATTTCCTAAGCCAGATACCTAAATTGTAACAGTAACCATAAGAAAACCACTGTGTGCCAACAGATTTATGAAATACGACATCAAATACTACCTTAAGAATCAGCAGCCGTTCTTCAACTGTAGGAACAGCAACCAGGCCCTGTTCGGCTGATCCAGTTTGTGACTGATTTCAGCTGATTTCGGCTTATTCAATAGTGTTCTGTGAGAGAGAATAAGCTGAAACAAGCTGAAACTGGATCAGCTTAAAAAACTATTTTAAGAAAAGTTTGTAAAATGTGCGCAATTAATTAAACATAACAGCATTCCATGGTATCTGTGTATAGATTGTAAATCATGTCCCAGCAGGATTCTTAAACATGGAACAAACCCTGAATTATTGCAACAGTGGTATTTGGAAATCAAAAGTGTGGCATGCCCATACCTGTTAGTCGATGCAACAACAACTACGTGAGGAAGCATCTTTGACGATTTCTTGTTTCCATCCATCAGAGTAAGAAGTTGGCCAAGCGAACGGGGCCAATGCGGGATTCATTCTCTCTCCTGTGAAAGCGCATTAAGATCTCATTTACACACACAAAGAAAAGAGATATGCAAAACTTGCCTATCGTGGACATATGGCATCAAGTTCGTGGATGAATATCACAGCTGGTTTGCCCCGCGAAGCCTGAGAATATGCTTCAGAAAAAGCTTCACGCAGGAACTTTTCTCCCTCTCCCACATGGGCTTTGTGTACAGAATATGGACTGTCAAGGTGGCCAGAGCAATATATTTCAAATCATGTCAAAAATACAGTGTACAATTGTACATGTCAGCACTAAACAGAAACAGTTCAAAGTAAATTCAGTACTTGATCATTGTCAGGTGCGCATTGCATTCTCGAACAATAGCTCGAACCAGGTTTGTCTGCCAAAAACAACAATCACCATACTGTTTAGGTCTTCCATATTTCAATACTGACAAGTTAAATAAACATCAAACTCCACCAAAAAAAAATCCAAGCACTTCAAGGTGATTTTAGATGATGGAAAATAGAGCTGAGAGTTAAGACGAGGAATTGCAAATTCAGTGCCTTTCCGGTGCCAGGGGGGCCGTGGAGCAGCAACCCTCTGGGACACTGAAGAAAGCAAGCTGAATGGTCAACCCGAAGGTGTAGCAGACAATGACGAAGTCTGATGGAGGCAAGAGGCGGGAGCACATTACCTTGAGGCCGAGCAGACGGGACTCGTGGGCGTAGAGGAAAGGATAAGCCACGAGCTTCCGAAGGGCCTCGAGTGCCCTACGGTTGCCCGCGACGGCCTCCTCCGCAGTAAAGGACATGGGTGGAGAGTGGCGAAGTAGGACAGCAGCGACGGTCGCGGGGACACCGGGGCTGCAGAGGGCGGACGCCGCGCCGGAGCTGGAAGCGAGGACGCTGGGCCCCAGGTGGTGCTCGACCGAGCGCAGTCTCCTCTCCGGGTTGCGGCGCGGCGAGCGGATGGAGGAGATCGGCCGCGGGCGAGACGAGTTCAGGCGGCGGGCAAAGGTGTCTATTTTTTTCCTCGTAGAACTTCCGCTTTTTTGTTTCCGTGGGACGGACTTTCACCTTCCGTGAGTTCCTTTTATCTTTCATTTCTTTTTCCTGTATGTAAGCATAAAAGCGTCGGTCTTTTCTTTCTTTTTTGCTCGCCTTGTTTTTAGTCGGATTTTTTCTTTTATATTTTGTATATAAAAAATAGAAATGGAGTATCTTCCATTTTTTAAATATAAAATTTAATAATAAATACGATATTATGGGTTTTTCCTTTTATCTTTTATATATAAAAAATCGAAATGGGGTATCTTCCATTTTTTCTTGTAAATATAAAAATTAAATAATAAATCGGTATTATGAGTTTCTGAATCATTGATCCTTCTCTAACCTAATAAATTATTGATGTAGTTTTCACTATGAATAAAACTTATTAAGGAGAACAATATTCTTATTCCGGTTTAGCAATCTAATTATGATTTTTATTTGATTTTTTAATTTTTTTAATTTTGCCCTTGCAATTTTAAAATGAAACATTCGTTTGCCCCTGGTTTCGATGTCATTTAGTTAATGGTTGAATAAACAATTAAAAAAAGCAAAACCCATGGAAAAGGAGGGGGAAAGACAAAGTTACCACTTATCCTTATCTCCTTCATCTCGCCCCACGCGCATCTAAAATTCAAAAACCCGAGTCAGGCTTGTGGCGGGTCCAACGGCTTGGGGTGGGTCCGATGGTGGAAGTTCATGGGCGAGGCGATGCATGAGCCAAGTGGTGTGCAGGCGAGCGGTCAGTGGAGTTTCAGTCGCTGCAGAAGGAGCTTTTTAGCCCGTTCGGCTGGTCAGGTTTTGGCTGATTTCGGATGATTTTGGATGATTCAATAGTATTCTGTAAGAGAGAATAAGCTGAAACAAGCTGGGAGCTGACCAGCCGACCAGGCTGTTTTACCGCCTGGAAAAAAAAATCTCTTTCTTATATGGTCTGATTTTTTTTTAACTTGGCTGTATAGCCTCGAAATAAAATTTCCTTACGCATTCCGTCAGGTCGTTAGAGTGAACTGTTAGGTTTCCCACTTGTAGATACGCAAAATGACTAAATTAGCCTTCTGTTATTCCAGTTATCCTCCCTTCTACCGCATCCCGTCCGACACGGAGGGAAAATCATGACACAGCGCATATTGACCGAGCGAAGCGAGTGGAGGAGGGCGCCGCCGCCGGCCTTTCTCCCGTCGGATCCACGGCCAGCCGGCCCCCCTCCCAACCTCGGTCGTCGACCTACGCGTGGGGGAGGTGCCGCCGCCCGCCTGGTGGAGCGCGCGCGGCCGGGGCTGGTCCGGCGCGTCCAGCCCGGCGCGGCACTAGGCGGGCCCTCCCGCGTCCAGCCCGACGCGGCACCAGGCGGCTCCTCCCGCGTCCAGCCTGGCGCGGCCGGCACCTCCATTGACCGCGGCGAGCCCTCCTCGGCACCAGGCAGCCCCTCCCGCGGCTAGCTCGGCGCGGCCGGCCCCTCCGGCAGTGATCCATGCACGGCTCCAGTCCCTCCCGCAGCTAGCCAGCATGGCGACGTTGTCTCCGACTAAGATGGCGTCAGCTCCGACCAAGATTTGTGAACTACGGTGAATTTATGAACAATTTACGTGAGACTGAAATTTATGTGGGACCAATGCATTTGTGTAATTTTTTCATGTACGACCTGAAGGAAAGTTACACCTTATTTCTCACATGGCAAACAACAACACAGCATTCACGATGAACAAATACTGTCTTACAAAATGATGTGCTCACCTGAGAAACTCGATCAATTCGGCAGCATGGACTTCGCTGCCGAGACCGAGATGCAGTGGTCGTTGTCCCTGGTCGATCACGGAGAGACTCATCGAATGGGCCGTGGGCTAGATCCATTCCAGAATCCTCCATGGAGGCCCGTATTCCCCCATCCCGCCCCCATGCAGGCCAGAATAAATGGGCTGCGGGTGAGCAGATCTCAGGCTGGGCCGAGTGGGCTCAACACCCTACTACGGCCTTTTCCTTCTAATAACTTTCCTTTCCCCCTCTCAAAAGAAAAACTTTCCTTTCCCCTTTTTTCTTTTTTTATTAAAAGAAAAATGGCCTCTCACTCTACCGTGGGCTACCGATTGAACCAGAACCGCAGAATGTGCTGCAATGCGAACCCTGGAATTTCTCGTTTCGAGATTCCAGCATGACCATGAGTTCATCTTACTTTTTTGCAGAGTTACAAGGGGACAAGATGCTATGTAGTACTCCTACTGTGCAGGATAGGGATTCTATACGTGCCATGTTCTCTCGGCTTAGAAGCCATATTTTTTTTAGCTAATGAACAATATTTTTTCTCATAACAAATCAGCCAACGATACTTTCAGCCATGCCTTATTAGCTAAGCGAACAGGACAATGATGCGAGGAATAATATAAACTCCATTTTCTCAGCTGCCAAATACTATTCCACTCCATAAGAGTGAATACTGGGAAAGGAGGTGAGACCGAGAGAGACGTCCCAGAAGCACTCCGGCCGGCCGTGCATCTACTTGGATTCTTTCCGTGCTTGTGAACACGCCGCCCCGAATCGAATCTTTCACGACGAGCTAGCTCCTCAAGTCCGAAACGTGGAACACTTGACCGAACTTGCGGCTGCCGGCGTCGTGGCCTGGCATCGTGCTACAAGCCGGCCTAGCTTAATTATATTGTTGTCCTAAATACTACTAGTTCATCTTACGTACCTTCGTCTTTTGACAAAACGGTGCATCAGCGGACTTGGGGCACATTGTTTATGTCCACGCCTTGTAAAGAGACGCGACAAATAGACATGATTTGTCCTTGGAAAGAGTCCATATTACTCCCTCCAAGTTTGGCCGATGTCCAAATAACCTTCTAAATTAACATTTGGTTCAATTTACTCCCTCCAAAGCGTTCTACAGGTTTGGTTTTGAGATCTGGAGCTATTCACAGCGTGGGTACAATTTAGATGAAAATAAGTTTTTAGATATTTGTGTAATCCAGAGCGCTCGTAACGTGTTGATGTACCCAACTATTATCTAATATAATTCTTCTTTCGTAAAAAAAGTATTTAAGTTGGTCCAACTAACATCTTAAAGAGATTTTTTTTATTTCTCTATGTATGAATTATATTTTAGTTTCAAAATTCGTGAGGTGATAGAGGACATTATTTTTTGTATTTGAAAAATGCATTATGAATTTTTCATTATTATGTTTTATACGATATTGTGTTAATTTATTATTAAATTTCCTAAGCTATCAAAATAGTGGCAAAAAGCTAAGATATATTTTTCTAACATAACTTATGGTGTTCTCTATCATATCACAAAAGTTGATATTAAGACTCAATTAATACATGGAAAAACAAAAATAATAAACCATGTTAAGGGGTAAACTAGATCGATTGAATTAGTTGGAGGGAATAAATTAAACCATACGTAAGATTAGGATAATCCGAACATATGCCAATAGTAATTTGGACTTTTTCCTTTGTCCTTAAGATAGATCGAGTCATTAGACAGCCGAAAGTGGACCGGCCGGCCTTCTGGTTGGGTTAGTTCGGTGAGTTTGTAGCCGGCCAGGCATATAGCTTCAGCACCATGCAATGTATCCATAATACTACCGTTTGCAGTGGCTCGTGCTACCAAGTCTCTTCTACGTACATTTGTGGTTGCTGTGTGTTTGAGATGTGTGAACCAGAATGGCACACGCCCCCAATATGTTCGTCTGCTCCCGGTCCCTGTGGAACTGTGTGCAGGACGCTGACATGCAGTTTCGGCCGAAATTCCGGACCGTGGACGGTAGCTTGACCAGGCCCCACAGACCACACAACACACGATCGATTCTGGGTTGGAAATGAGATGGAAAGCAGTGCGAGCGCCCCCGTCGTCTCCGTCGCTAGTAAAGTTTAACAAGTGGCCGGCCAGCATCAGAATTATGGAAGCTGTCGAGTGTCGATCCATCCATCGATGTGTTGCTTGCATTGCGTTGCGGCCACTGCTCCAGCGATTCGGCATCGACTGTGAGCCTGTCTTCACTGTGACGTTTGAAGACCGTCGCGTCGCTTTCAACAGAGTGGGCCGGGCCTAATGCGCGCAGCTTTTCAACCTGTAGCTCACGGGTTGTCCGATCGATGCGCAGAAATTTCACGGGATGTGTGTTTGGAAGGACCGGCACAAGGAGGAGCGTAGCGGTAGCAGGACTTGAGGAGTTGAGGTAGACCCTAGCTATGACAGAGATACTACTGTAACAGAAACTAGTCTGCAGTAGGACCCACACCAACAACACCACCTTGACTGGCAGCGATTTTTTTACCCGTTCGCCGCCGTGCCCTCGAGCGTCTACGCGACAATATATATACATTCCAAAGCCCCGCAGCGTGCGTACGTGGTAGCTGTTTTGCTTCGCAAGCACGTAGTAGTAGTATACGTAGGAGTGGTTGGCACAATATATATATATATTCACAGTCCTATATATACTCCCCGTCATATATATAGTTACTTACGCAACCCAGTAGTACGTTATTCGCACCTACTACCTACGTACGTACGCGTTGTGAAGAGTACTTATACAACGCGTTTAGTGGCCCAATAATAATGTGCCTTGTCGTACTCGTACGTCCCGTGGTCGCGTGGCGTAAACACGTTGCGCGTCAAGTGTCGCTCCTCAATCTATCACAGTAATCGTAGAGCGTGGAAAACTAGAACACGTACGACAGGCCGGTTGATTAAATTAACCGTCCCGGCCAAGCACGGGCCTTGTCGTAACTAACGAACCGAAAAATTTTGGTGTGGCCTCGA